TTCCTTATCCATTAGTTTGAATCTGACACACAATCTTTCTTTTCTACTTTTTCACGCTATCAACTATCAAACATTTATTTCAGTAGAAAAAAATATGTATTTAAATCATTTCACTTTTTACAAAGTAATTAATTCTCTATTTCTATCTAAAATATTAAAAGTTACGTGTAACTAAAAAAATCACGACTAATAATAAGATTAATTTAATTTATAAAATGTACAAAAATAGTCTATAGACCAATTTTTGTTTCCTTTATTTCCCAAAGATTAAAAAAAATTAAAATTCTCAAAGCAACATATAGGTCAAAAAATAATTTAATGTCAGGTCATTTTGATTTTTATGTTATTTTAATAGTTTATTTTCATTTCCTTTCATAATTTCAACATGAATATTAGGGATTTTGAAAATATCCAATAGTGGCTAAAAAAATTACGTAACACTTAAATAAAATACATTCTTTACAGTGATTAAATGACTACATTCAATTTTCCCATTACAATCAGGCAAATTACATTACTCCATTACAATTACAAAGACAGATGTAGATGAAGGAAATATTCGCTATTTAAAATATCAAGGGCAATTTTTCGTCTATATATAACCATCATGTCTGGTGAAACTGATTCTATCGAAAATCCTAGAACAAAGTATTATATATATTTAAGCACGAAAACTCCACAGTTCGGTCTTTAAGAATTTTTTTTTTTGGCAATTAGTACTTACGAATAAATATCTATTATATTAAACAAGAATTATTTTCGATGCTTACCCTTTGTTTGCACAGGGTAGATATAGTATAATCTCTAGCTTCATTTCTTTATTTCTGTGTTTGCTTATATCTCGTCTCCCTGCAAAACCTTTGTTGATCAGTAAAGAATTAATCGCGTCAACTGTCGCGTTCACATGTGCCTTTACTTGATTCGGTGTATGCTCGTTGTGGCTGCAATCGTATATCTGAAATTTCCACTCCGGAATATTGACCAAAAAAAGGTACCAAGTATTTCCGAGAAATGAACATTGAATTAATAAGTACTTACGTCCTACCCTTGGACGACTCTCTACAGGCATTTTGCCGTTCAAATATTTGTTCAGAAGAGTTCCATCTAGTTCACCTTTACTATTTCCCGCCTGAAAATCCCTTTGCCAAATCATCATATTAGCACACTCATTTTCAAATTGAAAGTCCATGATTGCATATTCTTTAGACACACGGGTACAACCATTAATAATTAATCGTCTCAACAACTTCAGCTCCAATTCAATTGCCTAGTGGAATAAATTGATAAAAATCAAATAAGTTAAGTATGAAATAAAATTAATTTTTACGAATAAACACTACTGACCGCAATATTTATATCTTTTGTTTTATCCAATAAAGTTTTCAACCAATCTCTTCAATAGACGTTTCCAATGGCATCTTCCAAATATGCACTGCATAGCATAATTAAAATTAGAGTTGAATAAATCAAAATAAAATTGTAGTATTTAAACCAATAATAAAAAATCATCTTTCTAACCTTGATTCGTTCTCCGCTATCCAGTTTCTAAGAGTTGAGTATTTTTGCACAGAATAGTCTTCCAAAGGACGTCTTCTAGATGACGAAGGTTGTATTTGTTTTCCCTTCTTTTTCTTCTCTCGTTGTGATGTTTCAGAACTTTCGACTTGTTGAGACGTTGATGCATCCTTCGGTCGATCATCGGGAATTGGACATGTACCAATAAGAATGTCTTCTTGTGTACAACTAATAAAGGCTTCCATGTCTGATTTCCATTTAGATAATTTCTGCAGCGTATTCTTATTTTGTTCATCGACACAATATCGTATGGAATCTAAACTGGTATCTACATAAGAGTGCATGGTTTGGTAATGGTCTTCTTGCCATTTTTTTTGTTGTTGGAATAATTGTTCCTCTTTCTCCAAATGTGTGTTAAAAAAACTTGATAATGAGTTATCCATGTAGGAATGCATGGTAGATTGCATATAATCCTCCCGCCATTTTTGGTGTTGTTTGAACAACTGTCTTTGATTGTCATAAACTTCTGTTCTCAAGTTGCCACATATATTAAACACCTCTTTTATTATGTCTTGTTTCTGGACACCAAGTAGTTCTATCATCCGGTCTTCAGTTACATATTAGAGGTGCTAGATCCAACATTAGGCCGCGCTACTAGTGAAGTTCTTGATGAACTAGGAATGGTCGTCTCTGGCACATATATATTATCCCTTTCTTGCTCAAAAGTATCTTCTAGGATTTGTTGTGCCACATTGTCTAATTCTCCAACGACGATGCCACCTAATACACGATGTTCATTATCATCTGGTAGTGAAAGATTTATATACCAAGATGTCTCCAATTCTTCCTTCGTAGGATGTAACGTTGAAATAACCCGAATCTTTAATTTTAATCACTACAACAAAATTAGGCTTTTGCAACACATAAAACGCAACATTTGTTAATTAAGTGTTGCCAAAGGTGTTTATTGCAAGGTTCAAATATGTGAATGTTGCCATTAGTTGATATAATTACAATTTGGCAACATTTTTTAAACAAGTGTTGCTAATGTTGGTTTTTGCAACGTTTATTCAAAGTTGCGAAAAACTATCTATTTCGCAACGTTTTTAAAGTGTTGCCAAAAAATTTTTTGTTTTGCAACGTTTTTAAAACGTTGCGAAAATATCACCTTTCGCAACGTTTTTAAAAAACGTTGCGAAACGTTGCGAAATATCACCTTTCGCAACGTTTTTAAAACGTTGCGAAAATATCACCTTTCACAACGTTTTTAAAAAACGTTGCGAAACTTTGCGAAATATCACCTTTCGCAACGTTTTTAAAACGTTGCGAAAGGATTCCCATGTAAGCCCAATAGAAAAGTCCCAAGTCCAATAGAGAGGCCCAAATAATTTACCTTCATCCTCTAAAATCCCTAATCGTATAATCTCTCACACAATCCCTAATTTTATCCTCAAATTCCTCCGTCATTCCGCGCATTTCATCCCTAATTTATTCATCAATTTCATCCCGATTCTGCCAGTCACTTTCGACTTTCGACGCCAGCAGAAGATTTTGAGACGACATCGACACCGATTGTATGGTTCTCCTGCGTCCGGTTGCCCGATTTCACTAAGGTCAGTTCATTTTGTTTCCCCAGTATATAAGTTTGGATATTGGATGTTGATTCTTCTTAATGTGGGTAACTAATACAAGGGTTTCCTATAATTTGATTATGAGTCAATTTCACATGCTGTTTTCGACTGAACTGTTCGACGGGATGGTTTCTTGTGATAGGTGTTTTAATTTGAATGCTAGTAGTTTCAATCAAATGGATTTAGCCATGTTAGTTTTGATTCTATGGATGACAAAGATAAAGGCATTCGTTTATTAGTATTTAATTTTTCATAAGGATCCTCCATTATTAGTATTTGATTTTGTAAACTGATATAGTTTAGCAGTAAACTTTAGTTCTTCTTTTATATCCATTTGTATTGGAGCTTGCTGTTGAATATTTGATGGAGCTTTTACATGTGAAACTGTTTAAACATGAATGACAAGCAAGAACAGAAAATAATTAGGTAAGGATTATTCAATCTAGGTCTTGCTTTCAGGTTCAATACTGCACGTTGTAGAACTCAAGCAAACAGAAATATTTCTTACACTGCAAGCATTGAAAGTGAATGCTGGACTCAAGAAAGGTCTACAAGAATCCTTTCCTTAAATGGAGATAGGGAAAAATGATTTCCCGAGGTTGCTTTTTTCTATGAATAGGAATGAAGTTAGAAGAGGATAGATATATAACATAGGGAATCACTAATATGCATTATGTTTGGAGAAGAGAAGGAAAAAGAACCTAGAAATTCAAGAACTGATTTAGAATATATAAAACCATAAATGGAATCTAGACAATTAGCTGTTTGAAATATCGTTTCTTTAATTGTAATACAATGATGACAAACTAAGCCTTATATTCAATAATTTAAGGTTGACTACACTACTCCCTTTTTGTTGTCACTTCCCATTTAGGTCTATGATCTATCTCTTTAGAAAGGTCCAAGAATCTAGTCTTAGCAACCATCCTTACTAATGATAATTTCTGTTGACCCTCCTTTTTTAACAGTGCTATAAACTACGAGTTAACCAATGACTAACCTTCCACATCATTCTATTATGGACTTCACTTGAGTCAGAATCAGGTTCACCATCTTGAAGAACCTCGTGAGCACAAATATCATCTTTTCCACTATACAACTCACATTGTTCACTGGTTTCATTGGACAACACAGTTCGGTCTGCCAAAATTTCTGCTCTCTCATCATTTAACTCACTGCAATGCCCTCCAGATGACAGCACTGAAACACGCCAGTCTATTACTCACAAGAGGATACTTATAAAAGTACAACATTTTATTGCATATGTAAAAATAAAGAGAGAAGAGAAAAACTGCACAATTTTCGAAGAAGTGGAAAAAAACTGTCTTCAGACCTTCCAATTCTTGGATACACAAATTGTCTAAGGTAGTATTAAACTTAAAGGGACCATATTACTGTTGCATAAATCTACATGATAAATGTCCTCTTGTAAAACATAGATGATTGGATGGAAGCTATGGACAAAATCCTTCCACCCGTTCACCCCCTACCCCTATTCAGCCTCAGCCAATTGGCTAAGCTACATAACTCACTGTGCATTCTTGCTTTGATGAAAATGTTTGAACTCCCAATATATCGTTTTATCACATAAATCCCTGCCGCATTCTCCATTTTGACCAATATGCTCTAATATTTAAAAAAGGGGCAACATGATCTATTCTTTTGATTATTGCATCTTTCTTACCTACTATGACTAAAACGGATTCCATTTATTTTCTTTTAGTATATTTGACCTTAGATTTTGAAGTATTCCTACTAAATTCCAACTTGTGATTTATTCCCCTCCCGTCTAATTAGTTGAAACTTTATTACTAATGTATATCATACAGCTAAGGACTTCATCTTAGTAGGAATATGGAGGATATAATGGACAAAGAGTGGCTGTACTTATCAAGGTGATAATCTAAAACTAATTTTGCAAATCTAAATATGAAACAAATAATATATTAATGTATAATTCGCCAAAAATTTAACTTGCAGATTTTCAGAACAATACAGAGCTGGAGCACATAATTTTGTTGAACGAGCTTGTGAAAATAGTAATTCAGAGATGATAGTATGCCCTTGTGTTAAGTGTAGGAATCTAATGCATCACCATTATAATATAGTCTACGAACATTTGGTTATTCAGGGTATGGATCCTACATATAGCGTCTGGATATTTCATGGAGAACAACCAAATACATCAAATAGTCGATGTGCAAATGCTCGAGTCACGTAGGATGTTCGAGGACTTCTATGCACAACGCGATGAAGATCCTGAAAACCCTCCTGATGGAAGAAAGAAAGAGCTGGAAAGTTTAGTTCATGATGCTGAAACTCCTTTATATCCTGGCTGTAAGGCGTTTACGAAGATGTCAGATTCTGTTGCTATGTTTAAGCATAAAGCTTCACATGGTTTATCAGACAGTGGTTTCGATGAACTCATAAGTCTTGTTCGAGACATGTTGCCAGAAAATAATACACTTCCGAGCTCATTTTATGAGATGAAAAAACTTGTTAATACATTCGATCTTGGCTATGAGAAGATACATGCATGCTATAATGATTGTTGTCTATATAGAAAGGAGCTTGAACATGCCGAGGTCTGTCCAAAATGTGGTTCCTCAAGATGGAAAGTTAACAAACGGACTAAGAAAATTGAAAAAAAAGTTCCTGCAAAAGTCTTACGTTATTTTCCAATAATACCAAGACTTAAGATAATGTTTGGAATAGATGAGATGGAAACACAACTAAGATGGCACGCAAGTAATAAAAGTTCAGACGACAAAATTAGGCATCCGGTTGATTCATTGAGTTGGGAAACAATTAATAGAAGGTGGCCACATTTTGCATCAGATCCTCGAAATATTAGATTAGGTCTTGCCACTGATAGATTTAATCCTTTCAAAGATCTAAGCTCTAACTACAGTTGTTGGCCAGTAATTCTAACTATATATAACTTGCCTCCCTCATTATGCATGTTAAAGGAAAGTCTAATGTTGAGTTTATTGATCCCGGGACCTAAGCAGCCTGGTAATGACATAGATGTTTTTCTGGCACCACTTGTAGATGACTTGATATTGTTATGGAATGATGGGGTTGAGATGTATGATGCAGTTACGAAGTGCACATTCAATTTAAAAGCTATTTTGATGTGGACAATACATGACTTTCCTGCCTATGGAAATATATCTGGATGGCCCGTCAAGGGAAAAATTGCATGCCCTATTTGTCGTGAAGATACATATTCACTATGGTTGAAGCATGGTAGGAAGTTTGCATACATGGGACATAGAAGATTTCTCTGCTTTGGCCATCCATTTCGCAAAAAAAAAAAGGTGGTTTAATGGACATATTGAAAATGGTATTGGGCCGAAGATGAAAAATGGTGAAGAAGATTTTACTGAAGTTGCTAAAATTACAAATGATTGGGGAAAATGTGGTAAGCCAAAGAGGAAGAAGAATACAACTCAATCTCACATTACGTGGAAGAAAAGATCAATATTTTTCAATCTACCATATTGGAAGGTAATTGCTGTAACGTTTCCCTCTTTTTAGTTAATACTTCTACTAGCGTGTAACTAAGCTTTTGTTTTATTTGCAGACTCTACTTGTACGTCACAATTTGGATGTGATGCACGTTGAAAAGAATATTTGTGATAGCATCCTCGATACACTTTTGGATGTCAAAGGAAAATCTAAAGATGGCATTAACTCTCGTAAGGACTTAGAAGCTATGAATATTAGGCATGATTTGCATCCTGAGAGTAGAGGAGATAAATTCTACCTACCGGTTGCTCCTCACACTTTATCAAAACCTGAACGAGAAATGTTTTGCAAAAGGCTTGCTAACTTGAGATTACCCGATGGTTATGGATCTAATATTGGAAATTGCATTTCGATGGAAGAATTGAAGATAGTTGGACTGAAGTCTCATGATTGTCACATTTTAATGCAACAATTACTACCAATTGCGTTGAGAGGGCTTCTACCTAAAGGAGCAAGGAACTCCATTTCGAAGTTGTGTTCATTTTTTAATGCAATATGCCAGAGAGTTGTGGATAGAAATAATGTCGAACAATTAGAGGAGGACGTGATAGAAATTGTATGCATGTTGGAAATGTATTTTCCACCTTCCTTTTTTGATATAATGGTTCACTTGACAATCCATATTGGGAGAGAAGTTAGTTTATGTGGACCAGTACAATATCGTTGGATGTACCCATTCGAGAGGTAATACTCAATCAAGATATTCAAAAAGTGAAATTCATTATGAAATTGGTCGTATATGTTTCAAATATTTGTATTTGTATAGGTATATGAAAGTGTTGAAAGGGTATGTTATGAATCGTGCACGGCCTGAAGGGTGCATAGCTGAACATTATGTTGTCGAGGAAAATGCAATGTTTTGTAGCAAATACATAACGCAAGCATTTGAAATTGGCGCTAAAATTGTACGCAATGAAGAATATGGTAGTGATTTCTTGGTTGTAGGGCGTACAATATCTAAAGGGAAGCCGCTTGTACTGTCTGATGACATGTTGAAAGTTGCTCATCGTTATGTGTTGTCAAATAATACAGAAGTTCAACCATATATAAAGTATGTTTATTAAATAACTACTTCAATAAATTTGTAGTTGTTTTACCGTATTCATTTTTTGATATATTGTATTTACCAAGGATGCATATGGCTGAACTCAAGAGTTTTGACAAGCGACTAGAAAGAAATGAGACTTTGTTGCATAAGAAACACATTGATTCTTTTGCTACCTGGTTGGATGATAAGGTTGGGATACCAAAAAATATATATATATATACGCCTCTTAGTTTTATTAGTTATTTTATTTCTAACATTTTCAAAATAAACAAAGATTAAATGTCAACTGCTGGTGGACAATGTTTCGAGCAATTTGATGTGGCTTGCACGTGGTCCTAGATGTCAATCCATGTCATACTCTGGATTTGTCATAAACGGTCTTCGATTTTACACTAAAGATGCGGAGAAATCACGTCAAAATAGTGGCATTTTAGTTGAGGCAACAACTATTTGCAGATCCAGTGCAAAAGATAATGCGCATGCAGTTGGGCAAATTATTTATTATGGAGTTTTACATGATGTTATAATTCTTGATTACAACGCATTTCATGTTCCAATATTCAAGTGTGATTGGGCAAATATCGTGAACGGAATAAGAAGGGAAGATGGATTCACTCTGGTTAACCTTCATGAGGGACTCAAACAATTTGAAAATGATCCTTTCATCTTGGCGACACAAGCAAAACAAGTCTTTTACTCAAGAGAGAATGAAACATCCAGTTGGTATGTCGCTTTACAAGCACCATCAAGAGACTTTCATGGTTCACACATGGAAGAAGATACTGCGTATGAGATAACTATTCCACTAGATATATCACAACGAAATATTGATAATCTTGATGATGATGAGAATTATGCAAGGATAGGCGTTGAAGGCTTTTTATGTGATCCGTAGAATAGTTTGGTAACTAGCTTATATCCTATTCATTTTTTAACATGTTAACATGTGATATATATAGTATTCATATCGTGCTGAAAAAACTCATTTTGAATTTGTTAAAATCTCTAACCTTTATTTCTTGTGATGTTCCAGATTTGTATTCTACATTTTGGGCAGCTTTCTAATCAACTTACAGTGCATTAAATATATTACGAAATGGACAATTCTGAGGTAATTATGTTTTCTTCAATTTGTGTATGTTATTTCTTAAGCTTTGATCATAATGACATTTTAATTTTTGTGTTGCATTGTTACAGTCTACCAGGCGAGCTTCCAATAAGTGTAAACAACGGAGAGCTGAAATTGCTATGGCAATTCGAGAGAACAATAAGAAGAAGGTACGGATGTCGAGCGAAGCAGAGAATTCTTTAGCTACTCCAGTTGATGATGAGCAAGACACACCACCGTCAAATGCAACTGTAGAAGTTCTGAAAAAGAAAAGGGGTCCAACTCAAGTGAAAATGATTACTGGAAATAGTCATCAGAAGATGGAACTTGAATTCAACGAATATGGGCAAGTAGTGCGCCATAACTCAGTTAAGTTTGTTAGCATAGTTGGAGCCATGGTACGAGAACATGTCCCTGTTGTAATTAAAGATTGGCATTCGGTTGATGGGAAGAAAAAAAATGGAACTTTGGAATTTCGTACAGGTAGATTTGTTAATTATATTGTTGAGATTATTACTATATTTTTTTCAGACTTTAATTTAGTTTTTTATACAAGTACAGCAAAGGTTCGATGTCACTGATTGTTATCAAAAAATAACATTTCAATATATGGGAAAGTATTGGAGGACGTTTAAGTCAAGAAAACAAATCAGAACTCAAGTTGAATCTTCTGTAAATAGAGCTCGCGGTACAGCCCTTCTTAGACCAAAGAATATTACATCTGAAGAAGCATGGGAAAAATTTGTCGAGGAAACACTTTCAACCGACTTCCGTGTAAGTATATTTGCATACGAGGCTTCAAATTTTTATAATTACTGTACGTTAATACTTTATGATTTTGTAATAGGAAAAAAGTTCAAAGTTTAGCAACACGAGAATATCTCAGAAGCTTGTCCATACAATGGGTAGAAAAGGATATCCACGTATTGCCCATGAAATGGTAAAATTACAAACATATCTACTCTTCTTATTTGAATTGTCCTACTCTAGTATATGTAATTACCAAATATTTATTGCAGAGAACAAAAAATCCAAATATAAAGGGATTGAGAGCTAGAGTATGGACTCAAGGCCATCTTAGAAAAGATGGAAAACCGATAAACGAAGCCGTTGCCGACACTGTGGTATGTGTTTTATATTCAATGTTGAACATAGAATAAATTGATTTATTATATGTATCATTTGTTAGTATAAATTTTGAGTTCCATGACTACAGAAAAGGATTGAAGCGTGTGCTGAAACAATTTCTGATAGCCAGCAGAAGACTCCATTCGCGATGATGCTGTTGCTCGAGTTTTAGGCCCTGAGCGCTATGGAAGAGTTAGAGGACTTGGATTTGGAGTTGCACCATCAAAGGTGGATGGAAAAATTCAAAGTAATGTGAGAGTTAGAGAACTTGAAAGTCAACTACAAACTTAATCAGAAAGGATGAGAACATTAGAAGAAAAGGTTGACAAGATGAGAGCGTTAGAAGAAAAGGTTGAAGCACTTCTCAAACTATCTCAACAGGTTATAATTTTTTACCTTTATAAATACTACGGTAACAGTACAACAATATAGTCAAGTACATGTAGATTTACTTTTCATAATTTTTGTATCATCTTACAGAATATGGAGGATAAGAGTTCGCGTGCTTTCACTCCTCAGGTTTTTGTATCCTACATTATTATATATTTATATGTTATAAATCCAAATTATATAGAAATCTAATTGAATATTTTTGGAAATTTTATTTTACTATGAATTGTAGTCACACCAAGGAAGTGGTGTTCACGGAGGCACCGCAAATCTGGAAAATGCAAGGTGTCAATTATTACATTGGTATTTTGAGGAGGAAGAAGAAGTTGTTGCGGAAGGAAAGATTGCAACAACAGATCCATTTGCAAAGGTTCATCACTTACCACTTGGACGAGACTGCTGGAAAGTTTGGCTTGAGGAAGTGTACATGAATAGTTTGACATTATATAGACCGACAAATGAACTTCGGACTCTTAGTGAAGCCATAGGAAGTACTTTTGCTTGGCCGAAGAGCAGTATTAGGCTTATCTGACATCATATCTTAAGATTTCACTCGCTTTTTAGATCTCCTTTTTGGTTGATTAGTATCTTTTAAGTTTTTTATGCAGTTGTAGGGTTGGAAACTATCTGATATGATGTTCGCAACTAGGCGTGGCTGAAACGATGCATGTGCTTTTGTAGGAAAACAAATTTTGGATTGATATATAGGTTGTATAGGCTAGAGTTTCATGTATTTTCATTTTGTATGGTTAAAAAATATGTAATGAAATTTTAATCTTATTTCCATTTTGTATTTTCATACGGGTTTTATGTGTACTGAAAAAGACAAATTGAGTTTGTGCACTACTTTTTTCAATTGTTGGTAAATTTGTATTTTTGATTCAGCAGTAATCCAGGTGAAAACAACAAAAACAGAGAAAATGCAAGAAAATGGGGAGCCTACGGCAACGTTTTTTAGACGTTGCTGTAGCATCTACGGCAACGTTTAAAAAACGTTGTCGTAGGCTTCTCATTCACAGCTACGGCAACCTTACATAAACGTTGCCGTAGTATCAACGGCAACGTTTATGTAACGTTGCCGTATCTATCAACGGCAACGTTTAAAAACCGTTTCCGTTGACAGCTACTGCAACATTTTTTAGACGTTGCTGTAGCATCTACAGCAGCGTCTAAAAAACGTTGCAGTAGCTCTCTACGGCAACGGTTTTTAAACGTTGCCGTAGATGCTACAACAACGTCTAAACAGCGTTGCCGTAGGTTCCCACTCTACGACAACATTGAGGTTTGCAACATTGGTCTAAACGTTGCAAAAAGTCTTCGGCAACGTTTTTCAAACGTTGGAAAAGACCTTTTTTGTTGTAGTGAATAAAATATCAAAATAATTTTTTCATTTTGCTTTTAAATAATTAAACACAAATGTAGTTATATATTCATTAAAAGAAATCGTACCTCTTGAGTAGCCAGAAAATGCTTAATCGTTTTTTCAGTCAGCAGTTTATTAGGCCTCCACTTATACATTTGTGGACTCTGTGCTGTTTTTTATCGACGCCGTCCAAATTTTTTTCCAATTTCTGTAAATGCCTCATAAATCCAATACTGTATCGCAATTACAAATTACAATTATTTTTCTCTTACAAATAAATGAAGTCAACAAAAGAAAAAAAATATTAATAAATACCTGAAATGCAAGTGGATATCCTCGTAATGCATACTTACAATCTATTTGTTCGTTCCGTTGCACTCTTTCTGCTCTTTGCAATTGTGATTTTTGTAGTGAATTTAACAAGATAAAAATACTTTTTCGACCCCAAGGATATCCAAGAAATTCATCAAGATGCTCGACCATACCAAGAGTTTTGTAATCAATAATTCTTCCAACTGGTTTTATAACACATTCCACCAACATAGCAAATCCTAACTTAAATTTATCTACTAAGTCTTCACATTCATGGAAAACTTCAAATAGCATTTTAATGCTAATTCTTTGACTACCATTGAAATAATGATTTCTAAGACGATTGTTGCTATGATCAATCTCCATAACCGGTTCATGACAAGGTAATCCAGTGATAAGACAAAATTCTTGCATATCAAATCTAATAATACGATCATCTAATTTTACCCATACTTCATTATTTTTGCCACAATCAACAAGCCACATTACGAATTCGTCTATTAATCTACTACTAAATAGCTCTTCCTCTTCTCTATAAATAATTTAAGAAAAAAATCCATAAAAATTACGACACATTATAGAACATTGTTGATTTGCATCTATAAAATCTATAAAGTCTTTAAGATATTCTCGATTTGGATATTGAGTAATAGTAGCAGAAAACCATTGATTTGGAGACAATATATATTCCAAAGATATTTGCATAAATAATTTGAAAACAAACTATTTGTAAACAAATTTAACAATTCTAAATAAGCAACAAAATAATATTTATACAAATTCAAAAATACATGAACATCAGAAAAAAGACAAATTCAAAAACCTCCGTGCACGAATGTTTGCGGACCTCCGTGCATGGGGGTCAACCTCCCCGCTTCAAACCTCCATGCACCGGGGTCCCCCCCCCCCCCCCCCCCCCCCCCCCTCCGTGCACCGGGGCTCCCCCCAACTTTAAAATTTCACTTGTATAAATATGAAGGTAAAAATCTAAATACTTACCTTTTGTTATAGATGGTGCTTGCTGAAATATGGTTGGCTTTGATTTTAGGTAGAGAATGAAGATTTTGAGATATAAAAGGAATGGTATAGATAAGGATAAGATATAAATGATATGTGTGGTAGTAAAAAGTCTTCTACAAATAAAAAATAATAATCATAAGAATAATTCTCTTTTCACTATTTATTATACATATACATATTTCTATATTATTTAAATTAAATGAATTAATCTATATCATCATTTCTTTTTCGACAAATAAATATAAAATGTAAATATTTCTTCCGATATTATTTAAACTAAATCTTATCTTCATTCATTAAAACAATTCAAAACTATTTTTATATTATAAGTACAACTTCACTTCTCCGTGCTATATATTAAACGTCTGGCGTAGTCCTCATATGTTTGCCTATTCCAAACTGTCATGTTTTCAAATTTTAATAAAATAAAAGAATAAGAACTAATAAAACAATCTTATATTCCATTACAGCCATATCTTTGTACTATAAATGAAATTTGAAAGTAATCTCCATATCTTATGCCAGTGATTATATAACGTATGGCTATTTAGATAATAAGGTATGGCTATTGATGAAATTTTACAATGTAAATTATTTTATTTGTTTTAACCATAAAAAAAAGTTTCATATTCAGTCTTTCCTTTTTTTAGTTTATTTATCCCATCTATGCTTCATTTTTTACAACTGACACATGAGCACATAAATACTTTAACAACGTCCTTCCAACATCGTTACCCAACATTAAAATATTTATTAAGCCATTATGTCTCTTTTTTTATATATATAAATATGCTAACATAAAGCTTCAGCTTCACATCTGCAACTACAAAAACACAAAAATTATCGTTACCATTTAGAGTTCCATACTTTAAGAAATTCTAACTTCTACTCATACTGTCTTTTTCTTCTTCTTCCTATATATCAACAATTGCTATAACAAAATGACTGCACCTCATAAATTCATTCCACAAATTTCAGCTTCAGAAACCAATTGGCCAGCAAAAGTGATTGTCGCAGGAAAACAATCCCCAAAGATTGCTCGGAATTCCAATAGCTGTTATCAAAATCTTACTCTCATGGATTTAGAGGTGCAAATATAACTCTCATTTCAATAATTTTTTACCAATCATTATACCTGTATACTTTCTAAATGTTCTCATCTTTTCTTTTTTTGAATAGGGAAACAAAATCACAGCAACAATGTATGATGCCAATATCACTGCACTAAACGATTAGTTCGAACTTGGAAAAGCACACATTGTGTCAAATGCAACAGTTAAAGATTTCAAAAGTAAATTTCGGAGTTCTCCTGGACAAAAATATGGAATATAACAGGAAGAACAAATGTTGAAGAATTAAATGAAGACAATTTGAATCTCATGTTCTCAAAGTTTGAACTTACTGTGTTTGATCAACTAGAAAGGCATATGGACAAAAATACAGACATAAGTAAGATTTCTACTGCATTACATTTAAACAAATCATTTCATATAACATTTCATACTTTATTTTTTACGTACAAATTTATTGCATGCAAAATGACATATAAAATATTTCATAATTAATTTTTACGTTCAAAGTTATTGCATGCAAAATGACATATAAAATATTTCATAATTAATTTTTACGTTCAAAGTTATTGCATGCAAAATGACATATAAAACAATTTACGTAACCTTATAGGTTTGATGGGTGTCGCTATAGGTGTTCGACAGAAATGCCTTATTCAAACTAACTTTGGTACAGAAGCTCATCTACAAGATGTAGTCTTTGGTAGATAAAGAATTCAAAACTGTTATACTAACATTATGGGATACCTTTCTCGAAAGAGAATGCACTTCGATAATTGAACATCTTCCAAATAGACTTGTGATATGGGCTACAAATCTCAAAACTTCTTCGTTAAACGGTAAATTTCTCTTACAAATACAGTTCCATCTATAATATTATTATTATTTTTTTCATGTAAGATATTCTTAATTTCTTTTGTACAGGCATCACACTTTCGAGCAAAGTAAATAACAGTTTTTTCATTAATGTCAAATTACATGCTGTTGCAGAGTACAAAGGATGGTAATACAACATACCTAATTTATATATATATTGTTTATTTACGTACCTTTAATACAAAAAAACAAAGGTTCTATTTTATAACTAAATATATCGTTATTTCTTGTAGAGTGAAAGCTAACAAGGAAGCGCTTGACAAACTAACGGAAAATAAACCTTTTATTGCTGTCAGGCCACCCAAACTTTCTCCTTCTACTGATAATAAATTGACACCAATTGAGGATTTATTAGGGGTGTATCTAACGGTACTTCTATACTAATATAAACTGAATATAATTAATAGAAACACATTATCTTTAATTTCACAATAAATATTATAGTAATATCACGTATTTTTCTCAGTCGTATCCTTTTATCTAATTACATGAGACATCTCCTTTAACAGACGAAATTCTACTGAGTGAATGCATGTTGGAAAATAGCTTTAAAAGACCAAAAATTTTGGTATATGTCTTGTAACAATTGCAAGAAAACTTTCAACGCGAACTTTGGAGAAATTCATAAATGTTGATTCTGCAAGTACGAACACTCAAAAGCTATCCCAAGGTAATTTCTTCTATTAAACATAAGTTCAAAAATTTACTAATTATTACTTCAGGAACAGGGTACATAATACATGGCTAAAAAAAAAATGCATTCTTTAGGGTAAATGCTTTTGTACAACTTAAAGACAAATCATGTTCCTTAGATGCAACCATCATAGGAGATGCAGCAGAAGTGTTACTGAAAAGTAGCGCCAATGACTTAATGAACCATCTTCAGAAGGTAAAGCATCATGTTCAACATCTTTCGAAAATGTTTTCTTTCTTAACAACAAACATATCACTCTATTGAAATATATTTCGTCGACCACAGGAAGGTATTAAAGAACTTAATGACGTTGTCAAATTGGAAAGTGATACAGAGCTATTCTTTTACCTCAAGGCAACAGAAAAGCGCCACGACCCACCTGAGTACCGCTTTGAAATCATATTCGTGTTCAACTCCTCCACGGCAAATCAAGTTGATTCCTCAATTGTTACAGAAGATGCAAACAAACAAATTGAAATGGAAAAAAATTCCAACAACAAAGACATAAAAGGCAAGAACAAGGTGTCCGGACAACCCGATGACATTTCCACCGCTACTGAAGAAATCAATCCACCGCATGCAAAAATGTCTCTCTTCTAACCATCAAATGTACCTATTGAAGCAGAGTCAAAACCCAAAAAAAGGACTCACACAGGCTCCAAAACTGATGACTAAACCATTGGGATCACCTCAAAAGAAAAACATGAATGAATAACATCTATGATACTTTTGCGACTACTTTTGTGACAATAGACAATAATCAATGTTCTATTTAGTATTTCTGGAAAAAGTAACATGATGTGTCTATATCTTTGTCCATGTACAAGATTTCAGATTCTACCAAATAACAATAAATTACTACTCTTGAAATTCAAAGTTTGTTGTGCGAGTCTTACTTTCCTTTTTCCCCTTTCCATTGCAAAAACAGTGAAATATTACTATATTAAATCATTCCATTTCAAAATTAATATCATAGCTTACATCCAATGATCCTGTTTTTAACTAATGAATTCACTTTTTCTTTAAACAGTTAACTGATATCAACATTAAAAACTAAACATAATAAATCAGAGATCAATTACTCGTCAGGCTCCTCCACATAATCCATCAACTAAAAGCACTTAATTGCTAGAAACTTGTGTTAGGCTAGCTATTCACTCTTCCAACAATTGCTAATTTAAGCTTGACGCAGAAATGTTCCAAAAGTACAAGGTCAAGCATTTTATAAACTACGTCTAATCATGAATTGGGAATTACAAAATGCAGCCACATAAGTTTTAGGAGATTTGAGAAAATGAAAGTGAAATGTGCGATCAAACAACAAAAAGAATTTGAAGACTATTAAATAAACGAGTAAATAGTTGCACGATAAGACATCCACGCAGAAGGATATCTATAGTAATCCTAATCCACTGGACCGACTGCAATTTTGCTGAACTTAATTGCACTTGCATCCGTACCAACAAATATATATCCATTGCTCTTGTCAATTAGTTTAACTAGATTGCCAACACTTTTTTATCTTGAAAAACCAATTACGACTGAGAACTGTAGGATAGATAGTTAGGCTAGGCTTGTTAACACCACAAATAGATATGAAGATGCCTGAATATCTAAAGTCGCGAAGTTGACGAGACCCTAATCCTCTTTCGCCTAGCACAACTCCTTTGTAAGCTTTCTGCACCAAGAAAAAGGTAAATATTACCTAGAAAGTAGCAAATTAAGGATGAACAGATAATCACGAAAGACCTTAATGTGGGAACAAAGAGAAGAAAAGGAACCTTCTACTGGGGAAGAGAAGGGGTGGGGGTGAGGGTGGAAGATGGTGGAACTTGTTGGAGGAAAGATGAGTTTACTAACTTGGATTGGCTAAGGCTTGATAGAGGACAACACTAATAGGAAGAAGCAAGTGAAAAAAGGAAACTTGTATTTCTCAATTTCAAGACATTACACACTTTTTTGGTTTGTTACAAAATGGAGGACACTACCCCTTTATATAGTGTTTACATGAAATTTCTAGTTCGCACATTTTCTAGATACACCTAGGTCACACATCAAGATATTTTCCTAGAATTCTCTAGATATTCTTTATAAGACCACATATTTTACTTAGATATTTATATAGATTTTTCTAGTCGATATTTATATAGATTTTTCTAGATAATGGTTCTAGAAATGCTAGGCATGTTGGGTCTTTTAATTAATTTGGGCCTATAAGCAAAATCCTTAAGCCCATATTATTTAGTCCAAAAATCAAGTTTACTACTCACATCCCCCCTTAAACTTGATTCTGTTATTCCAAGTAGAGTTCTTAACTTGCAGATCACATCATGCTTGAGTAGCTTAGTGAGAATGTCGGCGATCTGCTCCTGGGAGGTTACATATTTCAGCTGCACTTCTTTCTTTGCAATTCTTTTTCTTATGAAGTGATATCTTGTATCAATGTGCTTGCTTCTATCATGGAATACTGGGTTCTTTGCCAATGCTAATGTCGATTTGTTATCAACATGGATTTCGATTGGTTCTTTTTGTGAAACTCCAAGTGTCTTCAATAAGTTTCTAAGTCAAATTGCATGGCAGACACTTGATGTAGTTGCAACATATTCAGCTTCACGGGTAGATAGTGCTATGATCGATTGCTTCTTTGAGCTCCAAATGAAAGTTGTGTCGCCCAAGTAAAACACATACCCAGTCGTATTCTGTCTATCATCACCGTCTCTGCCCCAATCGCTGTCACTATATCCAACAAGTTTGAATTCATTAGATGATGAATAGACTAAACCATAATCAAGCGTACCTTTGATGTAGCGAACAATTCTCTTTGCAATTTTCATATGGGTCATGGTAGGTGTCTCCATATAGCGACTAATGAGCCCAACTCCAAAAAGGATATCTGGTCTTGTGCACATCAAATATCTTAGACTTCCAACAAAACTCTTAAAGAGAGTTGGGCTTATTTTTTCACCTTCATCATTCTTCGACAACTTGATTCCACATTCGACGGAGGTACATACAGGCTTGTAATCCTTCATATTGAATTTCTTTCACATATCCTCCTTGTGAGATGAATATACAATCCTCAATTTGCTTTACCTCAATTCCAAGATAGTAGGCCATGAGGCCGATATCCGTCATTTTGAATTCTTAAGACATGGCCTTCTTAAACTCAGTGATCATACTTTGATTATTTCCTGTGAATATAAGATCATCTACATACAAACAAACAAGCAAAATATCTCCTTTCTCATTTATCTTTGTATAATGGGCATACCTGTGAAGGTATTTTGTGAAGTTATTTTCTACAAAATACTTGTAAATTCTACCATTCCATACCCTTGGAGTCTGTTTCAACCCATATAAAACCCTTTTTAGTTTTAAGACTTTACCTTCATGTCCTTTTATTTTATAACCAGTTGGTTGCTCCATATAGATTTCTTCTTCAAAATAACCATTTAGAAAAGTCGGTTTCACATCTATTTGAAATATTTTCCACTTATTTTGTGCTGCAAAAGAGATAATTAATCTTATGGTTTCTAAACGAGCAACAGGAGTAAATACCTCTTCATAATCGATTCGCGACCGTTGGTTGTAGCCTTTGACAACCAATCTTGCTTTGTATCTTTCTACTTCTCCTTTAGCATTCTTCTTTGCCTTGTATACCCACTTAACTCCGATTGCTCTCTTTCCTTTGGGAAGAGTTGTCAGCTCCCATGTGTCATTTTTCTCAATAGCCTTAATCTCTTCATCCATGGCATCTCTCCATCTTTTATTTTGCATCGCTTCTTCATACTCTATTGGTTTTCAATCGACAAAAAGACAAAAAAGTGTGAGTCATATAGCTCTTGTAGGCTCCTCATCTGTAGTGTCATTTCGCTTGAACTTTCTCCTTGTGAAGATGATGGAGAAGCATCTCCATGAGTAGGTGATAGAGATGGACTGATAATCTCTTGCTGCTCTCCATTCTTTTGTTCTTCTTCATCAAAGAATGGTAAGAAGTCATAGTCTTCTTCTTGGACACCCCAATCCCAAACTCCTTCTTCATCAAACTCGACATCTCTACTTATGATGATCTTCACCTTGTTTGGATTATACAACTTGTAGCCTTTAGAGTGAGAGTCATAACTGATAAAAACATACCTTTCACTCCTGTCATCTAACTTGGACCGTTTTTGATCTGGTACATGAGCATATGCAATGCTCCCAAATACTCGTAAGTGAGAGCTACTGGGCTTTCTTCCACTCCATGCTTCTTGTGGTGTCTTATTCCACACTTCTAGAAGGCGATCGATTAGACAGATACACGGTGCAATTAACAGCTTCAACCAAAGTTCTTTGGGTAATCTCTTACTTTTGAGCATGCAACGGGTCATATTAAGAATGGATCTATTCTTTTTTTTAGCTACTCCATTTTGTTGTGGAGAGTATGGAACCGTCAATGGGTGACTAATTACATTTTCCTCACAATATTTCTCAAATTTTTTGGAGGTGAACTCTCCTTCTCTATCCGATCTCAATGCTTTTATACTATATCCACTTTCTTTTTCAACAAGTGCTTTAAACTTCTTAAAAACTTAAAAAACTTTCAATTTTTGTTTGAGAAAATAGACCCAAGTCTTTCTACTAAAATCATCAATAAAAAGAACAAAGTAATTGCTTTTACTGAGAGAGTTTGGATTAATTGGCCCACAAGCATCGGAGTGTACAAGTTCTAGTGGCTTCTTAGCTATTGTAGAAGCTTCTTTTATAAACCTTTTCCTCGAATGGTTTCTAAGTAAGCATCCTTCACATAATTGATCCGCATGATTTATTGGAGGCAAACATTTCACCATCTTCTTCTTACTCAACAACTTTAAGCCTCCAAAATTAAGATGCCCAAATCTCAAGTGCCAAAACCAAGATAAATCTTTAAAACAAGCTTTTAAGCATTTAGCAACGTTATTTTGAATGCTTAACGCAAACATTCTATTTCTTGTCATAGGGATTTTAGCAATCAAATTTACCCTTTGATCTCTTATTGAAAGACTATGATCTTTCAAATGAATATCATAGCCCTTCTCTAAGAGTTGTCCTAAACTTAAAATGTTATTCTTCATATTGGGCACATAATAGACATTTGAGATAAATTGATGCGTACCATTTTTCAAGCGGATCAATATTTTACTTTTTTCTTTCATTGGGATCTTGGATTCATCTCCAAAGGTAATGTTTCCGCTTACTGATTCATCAAGCTCCACAAACATGTTTTTTCTTCCATGCATATGGTTGCTTGCTCCTATATAGTGTTCTTTTCTCTGCTCTCTTCACCTTTGTAAGCTAATAGTAGCACAGGATCCATTTCACTTTCTCGACAAGTGTAATTAGCTTTCTCCTCAACTTGGTTAGTAATATTTCTACATTCTGAAGCATAATGATCAAGTTTTTGACAATTGTACAATTTAATTTGAGATTTGTCGTACCTTGGTCCTTCATTTTGCCTCGTACCTTTTCCTCTTCTACGACCTCTAGTGGAAAATGAACTTTGTCTTCTTTCCTCCTTGTAGAATGCACTTCTTCCTCGATCTTGGCCTCCTCCTCTTCCTCTTTGGCTTCTTCTACTGTTGAACCTTCCTTTACCCTCGTTCAAAGTGAGCTTTGTTTGAAGAGCTTGCTCTAATGACTCTTCTTTCACCTTCTTCTACTGTTGAACCTTCCTTCACCCTTGTTCAAAGTGAGCTTTGTTTGAAAAGCTTGATCTAATGACTCTTCTTTCACCTTCTTCTTTAGTCTTTCCTCATGGGCTTGTAAAGATCCCATGAGTTGATCGACACTCATACTATCTAGATCATTAGATTCCTTAATGGCTACAACTATAGTCATATTTTGAATCTAAAGGCCTAAGTATTTTCTCAATTACTCGATTGTTGTTCAACCTTTCTCCATTCCTTTTTAATTGATTCACAATAGCCAATACTCTAGAGAAGTAATCAGAAATTGATTCCGATTCTTTCATATTTAAAGCTTCAAACTCACCTCGAAGTGTTTGAAATCGAACCTTTTTCACCTTTTCAACTCCTTTGTGGGAGTTTTGCAAGATCTCCCATGCTTCCTTACTTATAGTAGCACAAGCTACTTTCTCAAACATGCCTTCATCTAAGGCTTGATAGATGAGGGTGAGCGTCTTCTTGTCCTTCTTCCTTGCATCCTTCAAACTATCCCTTTGTGCTTGGGATAGAGCAACCTCGTCTTGTGGCTCCGTGTAACCTTTCTCTAGGATCTCTCATGCATCTTGCGACCCAAACAATGCTTTCATCCTTATGCTCCAATTGTCGTAGTTATCCTTGTTGAGTTGGGGACTTGAAAATGAATCATCCCACTTGCCATTTTTTACAAGAATCTTTGGGCTCTGATATCAGTTTGTTGGAGGAAAGAATGGTTTACTAACTTGGATTGGCTAAGGCTTGATAGAGGACAACCTAATAGGAAGAAGGAAGTGAAAAAAGGAACTTGATTTCAGAATTTCAAGACTTTACACACTTTTTTGGTTTGTTACAAAATGGATGATACTATCCTTTTATATAGTGTTTACATGTCCACACATTTTCTAGAGAAACCTAGACCACACATCAAGATATTTTCCTAGAATTCACTAGATATTCTTTATAAGACCACATATCTTACTTAGATATTTATATATATATTTTTAGTAGATATTTCTAGAAATGCTAGGCATGTTGGGCCTTTTAATTAATTTGGACCTATAAGCAAAATCTTTAAACCATATTATTTAGTCCAAAAATCAAGTTTACTACTCAACAGAACTCATGTATAATTTATCCTTGCCCCTTTAGATTCTAATCTCATTAATTAAGTAGATGGCACAAGATGAACTAGTGGCCTAATTTAGTCCAACAAATTCATGTCAAATTCAGTCCAAGAAGTACATGAAATGAAAACCAAGATATCTGAAACGGTCCTGCATTATACTAGATTCTACACAGAGGAATTTTAGCTTCAAACTCCACGTCTTATTACTGTGGTAGAATAAATTTGTGGCATATAAGGTAAATATCACTTAAATGTGTCATCAAGAAAATTTGTAGTCTGTAAACATTGCGCGGCTACAAATTTTAAATAGAGATATCGACTCTCAAATAGCTTAAGCTTTTTGGTGAAATGGTTTAACAAGGTATCATGTCATGTAAATGCTCTAAATTATGTGCTCTTCCGTTAAGGCCTTACAACCTACAAAGAGGGGCTTCTGCAACATATGGGCTAAATTGGAATCAGTATCGAATATGTACAAACATATCCAAAGATTGGTTGCTCAGCTGATTGTTTCGTTTTCCCGTATTCTGCGCGAAGGCAATTGTGTGGTATATTTGTTTGCTTCCTCATAAGTTTCTCTTCCTGTAGATGTCCAATTGATCCCATCATATGATATTATGCAAAAAAGTTTGGACTGGTTATTCTTCTTTCTTTTCGACGATTATTTTTATTTTAAGTTGACCCCCTTGTTTTTGGATTGGACTAGTAAGGGCTAACATGCCTTTATCTTAGTAGACATATTTTTTACCTTGAAGTCAGTCTTGTAATTTCGTTGGAG